TCTTCGACATCATAGCATTCATGGCTCATATTGTTTGATAATTTCATGTCATTTTGAGGAGTTTCACAACCTTGATGTAAACATAAAAAGTATGAGCTTTTCGTTAAAACTTAATTTAAAAGAGAAGCTATTTGTATGTTCAATGGTGCATGAGTCGTTGAAATCTCATGAACTCTTTAACATTTAAAGTAGTCGAAATCGTACATTCTTGAAAAAATCAACTTTTTACTACTCTTGTATGAGTTTTGAAGACTAAAGTCATCAAAAACAATAGTTAAATGGACTCTCATCTTACATACTGGTCAGAAAGATTAAATATTTACCTCATTAGAAAATTTGAATGAACATGAAAAAGATTTCTGCATAGGATGATTATGACAGTCGATCATCATTGATTTAATCTCATCTTGTTTTTTCTCAAGCTTCTTCCCTCTTCCCATAAAGTCATAGATTCTTCAATCAAGTGTTCATATTCCGAATTCTTATAGAATACTTCAGGTTTGACTAATAAGAAGCGGCTTTCTGAATGTTGGTAGATTATTACATCTAACTATAATTTCCTTCAAATCGACTTAAACAGCTTTCGACAAAAAGTGGACATGCATTGAATAATCGTGACTTGAAAGCGAGATGAAGAAAAAACCACTCAAATGATTATTAAAATATATATTTTACCTTCGTCTGCATATATCGATTGTGGTGCCTCAGGTTTTACGTCGGCGAATTTGATTGCGTCAATTAGTTTTGCATGTTCAGCGATAGTTGCTTGTTGAATAAAGTGTGTTATTGTCAGTATGTGTCTATCAAAGTTAAATACTGATTGATAATAATAGTAGAGTTGTATAAAAAGTAATGAATGACCACCGATAGCGAAGAAGCTTGTCTTGATGGAGATTTTCTTGTTAACAGCTTGTAGCACTTCGCACCAAAGGTCATGTATACGCTTTTCTGTGTCAGTTTCTGGTGACTCGTATTCAGTATCCGCTAGTGTGTCAATCGATTTAAAATTAGGAACAGGAAGACGTTTCCGGTCCACTTTTCCATTTGCATTCAAGGGCAACTGATTAAGCAAGATGAACACTGAAGGAATCATGAATGGTGGCAGACGAGAACGACAGTATATGCGTAAATCATCTTCATTCATGTTAGATCCTTGCACATAAGCTACTAAATGGTCGTCACCCCATTTTACGACAACGCAAGCATCTATCTGATCATTTAGTAAACATTGTTCAATTTCACCTAATTCTATGCGTTGTCCATGTAGTTTTACTTGGTGATCCTTACGACCGACATAGTAAATTAGGCCATTGCTTTCCATTCGAACAATATCACCTGTCCGATAATATACTGTATCTTGAATCCTAATTAATGCTTCTGTCGTCAAGTCATCACGACCAAGATACCCTGCAAAGACACCAGCCCCTCCTATTAAGAGTTCGCCCTGCTGATGAACAACTACAGGTTGCTCGAAGTCGTCGTAAATTAAACATTGATAGTTAGGAAGTGGCAAACCGATAGAAACTATATTGTCAAGATTGGCTGAATTAACTGCGTAGCATGTAGAAATTAGTGTTGTTTCCGCTGGTCCATATCCATTCCAAATTTTACAATTCGAAGAAACAATGCCCTTTATTCGTTGGACCAAATTCGATGAAAGAATATCCCCTATGTAATCCAATACAAAAGAATTCTTATCATCTTCCTCAACTGATTTTGATCCTACTGACCTGCAGAGCAAAACGATCTCATTGAATACAAATGAGAAATTAGAGCCTCTTCGAAGTAATCACAGAGACTGTTGATTAATGCTGGTACACCAATCATGTAACTGATCTGTTTATCATGCAAAACAGTAGCAAGGTACTTGCGATCCATGTTACCGTCTGCATGCAGCATGACGAGTGTAGCTCCTAGTATGACTGCTCCCAGAATTTCGAGCATATGAGCATCAAATGAACACTGAGAAAGTTGTAGAATTTTATCTCTCTGACTGAGCATATTTAGAAATTCCAATGAGTGAATACAAGCAGTGAGATTTCCATGGCGCAGTTGGACCTGCAACAGTAGTACTATCTTAGTCATCATTAGTGATTAAAAGTAAACGAACTCACTGCTTTTGGTATGCCCGTTGATCCACTGGTGAAAACAATACCTGCGACACAATTCGGTGTCACCATTGAAGACAATACAAGACCGGAATCAGAACCACATCCTACACCATTCTCATTTATAACCACATCAATGTCTACCATGGTGATACCTGTATTGAATCTGTCACGTGTCATAGAATGAATGATTATAAGACGACTTCCAGTTTGTTCGATCAGCAACGATAAACGTTGATTGGGACTTTGAGGCGGTAATGGACAATAGACAGCACCAATCATCTCAATTGCCATGATACCAATAACCTGAGGACATAAATAATCAATTAATACCAATGGAGTACTATAATATCCGCTCTCTCGACAAGGTCTCGAACCAAAATGTGATATGGTTTGAAGATCTGTACTCTCAAAAACGGTGCCATATGGAATCGTTTATGGTTTTGGAGAAGGCCCAAAACACTTGAGATCTTGAATTTAGGTAAAATTTTAAGAATCTTTTATAAAGTTCTGTCCACGGCATCGGAAACTTTTCAGTTCTGCATTTCTGTCCAAAACGATTTCAAGTTTTGGACTTTTCCGATAGCACTTTAAAAATGGTTCTTGAAATTGCATTAAGAGAGATCCAGCACGATACTTTGTTTTTAGATGTTACTAACAAACAATGCAACGATATTCAAGATAAAATTCTCAGGAGATGCAGAAGAGTCAAAAACAATCAACTATACACTGAAAAAGCTGTTAATGCAATCCCTTACGAGATTAAAAATGTGAAACACGATATAGTTACTATAGCTGATGTACTAAAAACTATTGCTTTTTATACATGCTGATGTACAGTTCTTCATAATGGTTTATCCTGAATTATATAATTTCAACAGGATAATATTTCATATCTGCTTCAGTCATATGTGACTTTTGCATCATCTGTGATATTTCCTTGAAGTCCTTTATCACAGTCTATAATGACTCCTGAGAACCGTCCGCCACAGGGTCAAAATCCTGCCAGTCAAGGTCTGTAATGACTCCAAAGTTCCCTCTGTCACGGTCCGTCACGGATCTAAAGTCATGTCTGTCACGGTCTGTGTGGGGAGGGGATGGGATGGAAATTTCTACCCCTAAACACTTCAACACTCCTTTGAGATCATGTTTCACAGAAAAAAAGGTACTCTACGAAACCTAAAAGGTTTCAGATTTTTGTAACCAAATCGAAACCTTTTTGCGGTGTCGCACGGAACTTTCGAAGTTCTGTGAAGTCTCACACGAAATCCTTGAAGTTGTCCTAAACGCTGAAGAAAAATTCGCGAGATTTTACCTAACTTAAAAAGTTC